ACACACACACACACACACACACACACACACACACACACACACACACACACACACACTTCCTTCATAATTCTAAAATTTATGTCAAAATTCTGAAAGGAAAATAACCTTCTGTCTTCTGTGGTCCTCTGTCTTAAATAAAAGTCTTCTTTTACTCGCATAGAAATATTTCCATATGAAATTACAGTGTCATTTTTGGTAAGAGTTAGTAGAATTAGTAAATTAAATAAAAACAATATGTTAAAGTTTATTTATTTATTTTTCAGTATTGAAGCCTGGAAAAAACATAGAGGTGCATGTACAGAATGATTTATTTTATTTTATTTTAATTTATTTTTTTGACTGCTTTTGTCAGGTCAAATGGAATTCACCCACGGGCCCCATTTGGTCTGCAGGCCCTGAGTTTTACACTTGCTGTAAGGCATCAGCCAAACTAACCTGTAGTTGTGAACTCCTAGTCATTCTACACAGATATTCTTTACTGCAGCCAGATGTGTTGAACCATCAACCTATCCATGGTGTACTCTGTGGAAGACTGAATCTGAAATAATCAGAAATAAAAGCAGAAATATATCAATGGACCAATAAATAAATAAATAAATAAATAAATAAATAAATAAATACACTTAAAAAGCAACAGCTAAATTAAAAATAGAGAAAATAGCATAATTTGCATTTGTACATGCATCCGTGTCTCTTAAATGATTATATTTAGTTATTTTTAATATATTCCTCCCACAAGTCTGTTTACTTCCATGTGTACATTTCTCTGTCTCCTGTTTTTCCTTATGCATTTCTGCCTCATTCCCCGTACAGGCCACCAGTATGTAGGAGTGAGCTTAAGGTGGCATTAAGCTTTTCCCAAATCTCTTATACACAAGGTCATGAGGAAACTTCTACCAAGGTATTTCTCATTACTTGCTAATATCTTGACTGTGCGAAGTGAAAAGTGATACAATAAGCGAACGTTCAGACGAGTTCAAGTTGATTCATAAAAGACTATGCAATCATTTATTTATACAAACTGAACAGATCATAAGTCACACTTGATTGTGGTTATTCCTATAACACGCGTCAGAATTAATGAGATAAAACTCACGTCCGAATTTCAATTCACATCAACTCAGATTACTTATATACGTAGAAGAGTAAAACGTCCGTTCTGATGTTAACAACCAAACAATTTTACTGGCACTTTTAGCTTAAGTTTTGGCAAATTAAGAACAAGGAAAGGTGGAAAGTAAGATTAGTATTTTTCTACTACTTTTACTTTTATCAAAGTGTGGGTCAACCGGAACTGCACGTCTTTTCTGAGCTCAGGTTCCACATGGCACGTCACTCCGAACACATCAGCTTTACCTGGTGATGGCTTCTTAAGGCACCCTCGTGGTAGGAGCTGGCTCGCCTCCGATCAGTCAGGGAACTGATGTCGGCTCGCTTACCGGTCATTGGCGAACAGGTGTTTTCACAGGTAATTTTCGTCTGTTTCAGTCCAAGCCAGAAAAATTCAAGCCGTATCCGGTTCCTTCTTTCCAAAATAAAATCTCCCCACGGGAGTTAAAAACACTCAGAGGCTTGAAGCCTCGATTTGGAACCACCGGCAGGCGTGCCAGGTCCCTGGCTGTGAAGTCTTCCCTAGTTAGCTCGTGGGATCAGACTTAAAACCAAACTGAGGTTTCTCCGGAGAGAATCCCAGCTTTCTTCCTCGGTTGGAATCAGGAAGAAGAGTGAGTCGCTCAAAGCCGTCCGGGTTAGTAAAAGAAATGGACGAACTTTGGTTCTGCCCTCAGGCTTAGAGATGAGTCAGAGAAAGAAAGATAAAGATTTGCCAGCCGGCGCCAGCCCAAGGTTAAAATTCTGTGGTTGACCAACAACATGATATGATAACCTCTTTTGAGCTTTCTTCTGATAGACTAAGAGAAATCACTGCAAATCATTTATGATGATTAATTAACATTTCTGTTTTATGATCAGTTCTGAACCTTCTGTTAGTCCAGATAAATGAAAGATTTTCTCCGGAAAAATCCACAATTATATCACTGTGTTCACAGTAAAGTAAAAATAGTGATTTACATAAAAACACAATGAAAACATTGTAAGCAGATTCTCTGTGATTTTTAATACCATTATTAATTTTTAAGGCACAGTAAAAGAAAAGAAGTGGTTCCACTTTTCCTGTGACAGTCATTATCATGATTTAACAAATGCATAAACATTCTTAGTTAAACAACACATGAATCACGAACAGAAGAGATTGTTCTGTCCATTATCTGATTAAGAGAACTGAGAGGTTCTCTTCCACGGTTGGAATGACCTGTCATGGCTTAAATAGAGTTCAGTTTGTGACAGAGTTCCTGTCCTCTCGTCAGGCATGTCCGAAGCCTGTTTTGAGGCAGTAAATCTTGTTTCTTCATTCAAGGTGACCCCTACATTCTGCTTCATTATGCATTTATATATTTCTGCTTTTATTTCTAATTATGTCAGATACGGTCCTCCACAATACTCTGCACCCTGCTAGGTTCCAGGGGACTCATCTATTAAACAATACACAGATTTCATACTGAAAGTTGACACATTGACAAAATGTGAAAATTTCAAGTTTCTGTAAATCTTTCCTTCATACATCCTGTTGAACAAAATGCAAATAAATGTAAATGTCCTGCATGTGTGATTGTCCTCACTGCACGATCAAAAGTGATGTCTAGATGCAGAAAAATGTGGAATTTATTGGAATGTGAGTTTTAGACATTCCTAAACAAGGCAGAGGGGTGTAAAAACATATTTGGCATGCTGTCCTCTGGCACGTTTGTCTCAAAGAAAACAAAATGAAAAAAATCAGAAGCCTTACAAATTACATAAAATGTCCCATCAAACCCTTTTCAAGTGCATGGGACAAACAAACAAACAAACAAACAAACAAACAAACAAACAAACAAACAAACAAACAAACAAACACATGGGTTTTATCATAAAAAATTTAAAAGAACAATACTTAAAACTACACATGTGGACACAATTGTTGGTACCCCTCGTTTAACGAAAGAAAAACCCACAATGGTCACAGAAATAACTTGAATCTGACTAAAGTAATAAATTAAAATTCTATCAAAATGAACAAATGAAAGTCAGACATTGCTTTTCAACCATGCTTCAACAGAATAAAAAAATAAAGTAAATAAAAATCACGAAACAGGCTTGGACAGAAATTATGGTACCCTTAATTTAATATTTTCTTGCACAACTTTTTGAGGCAATCATCAAATGATTCCTGTAACTGTCAGTGAGACGTCTGCAGCTCTCAGCAGGTGTTTTGTTCCACTCCTCATGAGCAAACTGCTCCAGTTGTCTCAGGTTTGAAGGAGGCCTTTTCCAGATGGCATGTTTCAGCTCCTTCCAAAGATGCTCAACAGGATTTAGGTCAGGGCTCATAGAAGTCCACTTCAGAATAGTCCAATGTTTTCCTCATTCTTGGGTGTTTTTGGGTGTTTTTAGCTGTTTTGGATCAATATCCTGTTGTAAGATCCAAAAGCTGTCACTGAGACCAAGCTTTCTGACACAGGGCAGCACATTTCTCTCCAGAATCTTTGATAGTATTGATATTTCATTGTACCCTGCACAGATTCAAGACCCCCTGTGCCAGATGCAGCAAAGCAGCCCCAGATCATAAC